ACATCCATCTTTATCTCCCAGAACAAAATATATTGGAATATGACACAGAGAGGGGAGGAAAAGCATGCACTGTGACAAATGGATGCCTTTCCACCTGTGAGGAAGCACTGCCTCTCAATACATGCTCAGCAAGTATAATCTATGATGACATTATCTTTTCAATGGTATGTGGGAGTGCAATTTTACATTCAGAAGACTATGGCAGCAAACAAAAATTAATATCAAATCTTTTAACCTTGTACTGTATATGGATACATTTTTAAAATGATGGGTCCTGTAGAAAGGTATTGCCCATCTTTGGGGGTGATGTCATGATTACAGAGTGCTGCAACTATTTGAATCAGAAAGAGGAAGAAATGTGTTGAGTTTGAGTTCCAAAGCAGATGTATTTATTATGTCCCCTACCAGAGCAACCTAGAAACGGGAACATACTCTTCTTGAAAGTTGTATATGTGGAAACTGCCTTTAATGTTGCTTCTTTCTTCACACTGATAATTGCTTTTTGGAGGGACACAGAGGGGAAATAGGCTTGCAAATGTTGGCAGGGTTTATGGATAATCAGGATCCTTCAGAAAGTCAAAGGTGTATGTGCTTACTTGTATGTTCTTACTTGTAGGAAATTCGCATAGCAAAATATCCATACGCTATCTCTAGAACCTTCTCAGAGATACCGTAATGGGGCTAAGGAATGCAGAAGAGCTCTTCTTATGGAATCCTGGGGGACAGCCATCTTTTTAAACTTGCAATTTCCTATACATTTATTTATTTACAATATTTTCACTCTACTCTTCTCGTTAGAAAAAGACCCAAGGTGGTTTACATCATTGAAAGGCAGTATTTAAGAACAAAACAATGCATATACAAAGGTGGCGTGCATCGTTAAAGGGCAACATTTAAAGCTAAAAGCACTAAGTATAGAAATATTTAAAAGGAACAAACAAATGCGTACTGCTCTGGGAAATGGGAAACACTGAAAACACAGTCGAAGCAGCCAGCCACGGAGGGAGAGCTTGCCTGAAGAGAAAGGTCTTCACCTGCTTGTGGAAGGACAACAAAAATGGGGCCAGCCTAGCCTCCAGTGGGAGGGAGTTCCAGAGGCTGGATTCCACACAATTCACTCCACAAATTCATGAGGCTGAAATTTGGAATATGAGCGTTCATGGGACTGAGTTGAAGTTTAATCTACTATATCCCTCTATCCCATCTATAAATTCCACACACTTCACACCGCAAATTCATGAGGCTGAAATTTGAAATATGAGCATTCATGGGACTGAGTTGAAGTTTAATCTACATAAGGCAGAGGTTCTGTTGTTGAGTAATAAAGGGGGATGGCCCATATTGGATCAGATGCCAGCTTGTGGTGCCTCAGGAGTCAAAAACTGGGATGTAAAAAAATGGGGGAAAGGGGTGAAAGAAAGAAAAAAAATCACAAAAGACCAAGGTGGCTTCTGACGTAAACTGTGGTTCATCCGCTCAACTGAGTGGCCAACCGCTCTCCAACTGGAGAAGGCAGACCTTGCCTAAGTTTACCATGTGCTAGTTTAGTCTTCCCTAACCTGGTGCATTAAAAACTTCTCTGCTTTGAAACGACCCCTCACCCAGCACAGCCACCTGGGGAAGGCTGAGTCTGGAAAGGTAGCCAGTTATGAGATGAAGGAGAAAAATCATGGCAGTACCAAGTTCTAATACTAGCCTATATCCACGGAACTGGAAAGACCAACAGCAATGGTGTTATCTATTAGGTCATGAATGTGCCTGATATGTTGCAGATGGGCGACAAAAGCCGGCTTCCTCTGATGAAGTAAAGCAATGGTTGTGTATTGGCTTCCAGCCCAATGAAAAGAGTAACCGGGCCTGTGACTATGCATTTGCCACTGAGTAAAGCCAACGTCTAGTTCATCGAAAGGCTTGATGCCGAGGATGACATCGTGTCGGCTTGCGGAATGCTAATTGTCAACTCGGAGTTTGCAAAAGAGGAAGGCGAATGAGATATCACTATCTCTTGCCTTTATGCCAGGAGAGCTGCAAGGTCAAAGTCATCTGGAATGCGCTCTGCTTTGATAAGAGCTGGGTCCCCACCACCAGCTTGTACGTACACTCAGAGAGAAAGAGAAGGGAAGTTTTCATGGGCAGAATCCCAACTTTGTTCGAAAAACAGTTCATACGCAACGTGGAGACAAGAAAAAACGGAATTAAAATCAGCCCCACATTAGACAGGAAGTGAACCTCTTTATAAATTGGCATTCTCCCTGGAATGCCCATTTTGAGTATGGTTGAAACTACGGGGTAAAGTGTGTGATGCATTGATTTGAGCCAGGGTGTTCTTGCCTTGGAAGGTTTGACTTTCCCCAGACGGTTGGACTTTCAACCCTTCCTCATCTCAGTCCTGCTATTAGTCTTAGCGCTGCTCGCTAGAGCTGATGGGCTTTGCCATTCAATAATAATTGGGAGGGTCACCGATCCTAGCTTAGCAAGAAGCTGTTAAGGGCTTCCAGCTTCCTTTCATAGGGATTAGCCGCCTATTCTTGGCTCTTGTACACAGTAATACCTTGCCACCCTGTTTAGCGCTAAATCACTGCAGCGCACATGCTGGAGTGGCCATTTTGCAGCACTTGACTGGGGACCAAGTCTACCTACAAGAGGTAGTCCGGGCCTCTGGAAGACCTGGGGTCTGGTCTACCTGCTCCATGTCAATGCTCTCTGGTTCTTTTATATGTTCTCATGCCCCCACCCTCTATAAACCAGGCCCTCAGCTTAATGTTCACACATTCTTCCAGATGCCCAAACAACACCCTCTCCTGCTGGCTTAATGCTCACCTCCCTTGGCCTTTTCCCCTATGTCATTTAGCACTGTTTCAGGACTCCATTTTCTTGCAACATATCCTGAGCGCTAAGTAGGGTATTACTGTATTTACTTCTTATTGCAGATTTTATGGCCAATAACAAATCCTTTGCCCAAGAATATCATTTCCTTTCTTCCTTCAGGTGGGGAGTGGCTGCAAATAATGAACAGAATGGGAAATATCCCCTCATCCTTATTAGGGGTTCTAAAGTAGACCCTCTAAAGTAGCTTCCTGGATTCTCACCCTCATTTCCAGAAAGGTTAAGAAAAAGGAAAAAAAATCCAAAACGCAGGTGCTATTCAGAGGAGGGAAAGGCAGTTTTAAGAGCTGTTTTCCGCTCAATTGGCTCGCCTTGTTCCTCAAATATCTGCTTTTAACTTGCTACAAGAGGCAATCACTGCAAGAAATACATTTTTTTTCTGATATGTTATCCTTCTTCTTTTGTAGGTCAGAAACATTTCTAAGAGATGTTCCTTTGCCTTTGATAACAGACACACACGGACGCACCTGCCCCTCCACAGAAAAAGCGAGACAGACGGGTGGCGGGGGAAACTTTGAGAGCCAAGACCTTTTCAATTCAAAGATTTCCGTGCGTGAGAGAGAGAAATGCAGCCGTTTCTGATCTCGCACTGTAAGGGGGAAGGAATTATATGCCTAAGGAAAACTGGAGTCTCCAAATTGGACTGTTTTCAAGGATTCCTGCCTCTCTATCTCAAAATCAGGAAATGAATCATCTGAGACCAGAAGTTCAAGCATTTCCCCTTACATATTTTCTCCTCTGTTCACGCATTAGACCCACTCTGTTTCAGGCTCTCATGTTTCACAAGTGTTAAAGTCTTAGGGCAGGTGCACAGTTTTCTTTTAAGAGAAGAAAATTAATATTTATTAATTGATCTACTCAGTTTGTATGATGCACTTCCAGCACTTGTTGCTCAAGGGGGATTTGCCTTAACAGACAAACAAAATATAGCACAATGCACTTGAAAAAACATAAAACAAAGCACATAGAAACGAGGGAGATAAAAATATTTATCCTATCAATTAAAGCAGCCTATTAAAGTTAGATAGGGAGAATACTTGATAAATCCCTCTTTTTTGCCTTATAGGCTGCCTTAACATGACCCCTAGTATTTTTGAGGAATTTTGAAACCCTGCTAGATTCCTTACCTCCAGTGTGAGAGTGAGACTAGGGACTCTTTTTGAGGAGGAATCAAGGACTCCACCATTTGTTTAAAATGTATCTGGATAAAACTAGTGTCTTTTCACTTTGAGAAACAAAAGACACACACAGGAAGCACGGATTGGTTTGGGCGATTGTTCCAAAAGATGCACACAACAACCCAGCCAGTGTGTCTCATGGTTTGAAGTCCTTGGAACAAAGCAGCAGCTGTTACAGTTCTGTGCAGTATGCGGCGGTTGTGCAAAAATCCTTCTCAAAAATGTGAAACTTCCAGTTGAGACTGACTGGACATCTATGGCCCTGTTACAGGCAAGGAGAAACTTTTTACAAAAAATAACACAAGCAAAAGTTTCATTCCCTCATTAGAACCAGCTACAAGTTCATTTATGATTCAAAGATCTGCTTAAATAAAAATGTCTTTGCTGGTGGTGGTACGTCATTAAAGATGGGGTGAAACCGCCATCCCTACAGGTTTTTAAATGTTTTTGAATTATATTTAAACTTGATTTTTAATGTTAATATACAATATGTTTAATTTTAAAAAACAAATACAAGATTTATCTCTTGTCTTTAAATCTGTTGTAAACTGCCTTGGGTTCCCTATGGGGAGAAAGGTGGCATATCAATAATATAAATAAATAAGTAAACAAGATAAGCCGATTGGGGCTGAACTCCAACTGCTAGTCTGAACTATGGTAGACCCACTGACTCAACTGCTGAAGAGCAAGTCAACAAATTCTCTTGCACAGATGGAGCAGGAAAGTCCTCTGAACCAGTAACTGAGGGATAGGAAGTAGTTATGCTTTTAAAAATATACTAACCTCTGAAGTCAACCAAGGACCGATAAAATATTGTCAAAATCCAGGGGGAAATGGGGATGATGGAAATGTCGGAAGGAACATGAGGTCGTCATCTGTCTACTCTATGCAAAGCTTGAGGTGGAGAGTGAGGTAAGACAATAACCAGCCACTTACTAAAGCACACAGGAGATCCACTGCTTCCAGGATCAGTTCTTGGTGGCCAATTCGAGTGACTCCCAATTCTTCAAGTTCCTGATGTGTGATGTGTAGCAGCTGCTCCCCGTTGATCTTTTCTCTCTCGAAATTTTTAATGTATTGTTGCAGGCAGTCATCGAGGCCTAGTTTAAAACATGAACAGTGGAGGTGCACGGTTAGAGAGAATTTTTTTAAAAAATAATAATAATAATGCATCAGCTGGCTTGCTGGAGCTTCACTTTGCTTTGAAACTAGGCTGCTTTCATCTTACTGGAATATAATAAGGTGTTTTGGTTTTTTTTTTAACGTAGTGGAAAATGATGCCATTTTTCTATTCTTTTCAACGGAGAGTCTCTTTTTTAAAAAAATATCATGCCCACCTGAAGTTAGGCACAGTTAAGTGAAATGTAAGCTCCTTCTTTCAGCTCCTTACAGGGCAACAAATTGGAGATAAGCAAGAATGACACTAGAAAACCACATCTACTGCTGATTTTAGCGTGCCAACAAAAGCACGCAAGAGCAACTGCCATGCGTCTTTCACTACAAAACCTTGTGTCGTTGCCCGGTTGTACTTTCCACGTGAGAAATGCATGCAATATGAAGTAGGCCTAAATCAAAGATTTGCATCAATGATGTTGTTGAAGCAGGACTTTAGAGAGGAGGGCCAGAGACCTGCAGAAGGAGCAGGTGGTTCCTCTACAGGCAAAGAGGAGGGCCGGAGACCTGCACAACAGAAGGAGCAGGTGGTTCCTCTACAGGCACGTTTTCAAGTAAGTGAAATCAGGCTCATTAAGATCCAAAGTGTCCTTTCCCATATGAACCTCTAACACAATTGAACCTATGCTTGTCTATAGCAGGGGTGATCATCTTGCAGCCTGTAGATTGCATATATAGTCTCTCCCCATGATCCTTCAAAATTCCCCAAAGAGCCCCATCATAATACCACAAATATTTTGGGAGAGAGAAAATTGCAACATCAAGGAACTGTGATCCCACCTGCACTTTGTTCTGACAGCAAAAGCAATAACCCCCAAGTGATTTTATTTTGGAGGGGTATTGTGACCTTTGAAGACTAGAGATTGGCTTCCAGAGTCTCCCCCCACACACTAGAAATAAGGGAAGTAATGGACATTATCTTCAACAGCAGTGGTTCCCAACCTTTGGTGATGTTCTAGAACTAAAACTCCCAGAAGCCGTCACCGCTAGCTTTCTTGGCCATGATTTCTGGGAGTTGCAGTCCAAGAACATCTGGGGACCCATGATGGGGAACCACTGTTCCAAAGAAAGAATGGACACATAAACAAACCATCACATTTAAAATTGCTACGTACACCACAGGTGTGGATGGAGGTGCCCAGGTTCTTACTCCACAATTCCTTCTGCTATACCAACGTTTTTTACTTCTGGGTAAAGTGCCAAATTGTGAATACACAGCACGGGCCAAATTCAATTTTAGAGAGGTTCTCAGAGGCCATGTGCCAGTGGAGGGCAGACCAAAGGGCAGAAGAGTAGGGCTGAAAACTGCAGAATATTTTAGTTTAAGACCTCTTTCTGAGGAGTGACATTTCAGCCTTTAGAATGGGGGGAAAGTACGAAATCTTGGGAACTGTGAAATGAATGGAACATGGGGACAGAGATATGGTCTTCTGAGGACCCAAGGATGGCTAGATTTAGCTTGCAGGGACTGAGGTTCCCTACTCTTGAGATATACTGTTGAGCGGTGAACTATATGCTACCCTGATCTCTTTGGTGAAAGAGTAATATAAAAACGTTGCAAGAAATAACAAATCTTCACAACTCTCTAACATGATGTATATCAGGATGTGAGCTCAGGAAACAATGCCCTTTATTTGAATGGATTTATTTGAAGGGATATGGGAGGTGGAAAGGTTGAAGGAGCAACTTTCCAGAGATGAATTTAGCTGCCACTGACAAGATTAAAATAGCTAGCCAAGGTAGAAGCTTTTTAATCTGCCAAGCACAAATTAATGCAGCAAAAACGAGTCAGGTACCAAGGATTTGGGGCTTCCTATCAGCAAAACGGAATGGTCAATCAAGGTCAACTGGGTTCGTAGCTCTTAAAATCTGAGGTTTCCAAATCAAAAGTGAGAAGGTATACAGTAGTATAAGGGATGTAGTATAAGGGATGTGGTGGCGCAGAGGGTTAAACCACAGAAGCCTCTGTGCTGCAAGGTCAGAAGACCTGCAGTCATAAGATTGAATCCATGTGACGGAGTGAGCTCCCGTCGCTTGTCCCAGCTCCCGCCAACCTAGCGGTTCAAAAGCATGCAAAATGCAAAATGCGAGTAGGTAAATAGGGACCACCTCGGTGGGAAGGTAACAGCGTTCCGTGTCTAAGTCACACTGGCCATGTGACCACGGAAGATTGTCTTCGGACAAAACGCTGGCTCTATGGCTTGGAAACGGGGATGAGCACCGCCCCCTAGAGTCGGACATGACTGGACAAATTGTCAAGGGGAATCTTTACCTTTACCTATACAGTAGTATTGGAAGAATCAAGCTAGAGGAAAACCGTTTCTCTGGAATAATTACCGAAAGATACAATACTGGAACTAGCCTAGAATTGTGCCAAACTGTTGGTACATAAAACTCACTGGTAGCTATTGACCAGACTGGTCTTTCTGAGACCAGCACAGAGATGACAGGGATTATAGCCAAAATTCTCTGCATGCCAAGAAGCATTTTCTTTTCTAGAAGGTTTTGGCCCTTCCTGGAAGTGCAACCTCAACTGGGTTTCAAAACAAAACAGAAACACCATCCCACCCCATCCGAATAGCCTATGCTTTTTAGTTCCAGTAGCAAAGCCATAACTCCCTGGGCCTAGAACACAATTTTTACACCCATTTAGTAACTTCAACCATGCCTGCCATTGACTGGGGCAAGTATAGTGTGAAAAGTCCTGTGTGAGAAAATGAGATCATCTTCCCTTCCCGCGCAACCACTAGGGATGTGAAGAAATGTCATTACTTCCTTGGTTTAAATGTGTCACAAGTGGACTGTCACTTATAACACTCACTTTGAATTAAGTCTGTTGTTCTTAAACAGGAGTGGCTGTACAGGCCACCAAAGAGTAAAGAAAGAAAATAGAATAAAATGCAAAACGTGAAACAGGAAATTCCAGAAACTGGGAAATGCCACTCCTGGTTTTGACAAAGGAATATTTTGGTGTGTAACACCATGCAGAGGCCTTGCCTGTGACCCATTTAGAAGGTGCTTCCTAGGAGATTCCAGGGAGCTATAAATCCATTTAAAAAAACCCAACCACAACAGAAAAACACAGAGGCCCTTGGGGGGGGCTTTGAAAACAGCCTTTGCCCTTGACCTGAAAAGTGGCACAATATCTCAGTTTTGTGATTCTTCCTCCCCTTTGTGTGCGCCACAATTTGCACAAAAACAAGAAAAACTAGCATCTTTTCTCTTTTGAAGCTAAATGCGTGCGCACCATTGCACATACACACATGCGCAGACAAGCAAGCACAAAAGGACTGGGTGATTGACTGCAAAGATATAGCACCTGTCCAATGCACGTGGGTTTCATGAGGATGACAATATTGTAAGGGGGAGGGGGATTGGTTAATTTCAATTCCAGAAGTGATCTTTTTTAGAATATCCTTTGGAAGGGCTCTTTTAAGAAAAAAATAAATATACTCCAGCTATGTCCTTTTACCTTCTCAATTGATTTCATAAGATGCTCTATTCTATTTATGGGCAAATAAAGATGGAAATTTGGGACGTGGTGGCACTGTGGGTCAAAACCGCAGAAGTCTCTGTGCTGCAATGTCAGAAGACCAGCAGTCGTAAGATTGAATCCACACGACGGAGTGAGCTCCCATTGCTTCTCTCAGCTCCTGCCAACCTAGCAGCTCGACTGGAATAACAAATCTTCCTTCTCCCCTCTCAAGAATGTTCTTTTTCTGCTGCTACAGGTGGTAAGACCAGTAACTGTGTGAATAGCTTAGCCTTTGTTGTTTAGTCATTAAGTCGTGTCCGACTCTTCGTGACCCCATGGACCAGAGCACGCCAGGCCCTCCTGTCTTCCACTGCCTCCCAGAGTTTGGTCAAATTCATGTTGGTCGCTTCAGTGATACTGTCCAACCATCTCGTTCTCTGTCATCCTCTTCTCCTCTTGCCTTCACACTTTCCCAACATCAGGGTCTTTTCCAGGGAGTCTTCTCATGAGATGGCCAAAGTATTGCAGCCTCAGCTTCAGGATCTGTCCTTCCAGTGAGCACTCAGTGGTTTGGGGTGTTGTTGTTTAGTCATTAAGTCATATCCGACTCTTCATGACCCCATGGACCAGAGCATGCCAGGCCCTCCTGTCTTCCACTGCCTCCCAGAGTTTGGTCAAATTCATGTTGGTCGCTTCGGTGACACTGTCCAACCATAGTTTAGCCTACGTTTTGGCTTTCTGCCCCACCCCCACAACTTAGTATCATTGTGGAGTGGAAGGATAAGCTCCTAAGAGAATATTCTTAGACATTATTCTTTTTCTTGGGAGTGAGAAAGAGAAACTATGTTGAGAAATGTTTACACAAAAAGTCTGAGAAATTTTGACTCCATTTTGGACTATACAGAGAGCAAGGGGGGGGGAATAGATATGGTCAAGATACCTACTAAACCCCCAACTTAGTATCATTGTGGAGTGGAAGGATAAGCTCCTAAGAGAATATTCTTAGACATTATTCTTTTTCTTGGGAGTGAGAAAGAGAAACTATGTTGAGAAATGTTTACACAAAAAGTCTGAGAAATTTTGACTCCATTTTGGACTATACAGAGAGCAAGGGGGGGGGAATAGATATGGTCAAGATACCTACTAAAGAGGAGTTCAACTTTCTCAGACACATATGGACGTGAAACTGGAGCAAAAGGAGTACATAAACACATAAAATGCCTGTGTGAAACTGTCAATGAGCAGGCACTTGGCATGAAAACAGCGAGCCTACTGTTTGTAGGGCTTTAGATTGCAAGAAATGATTATCCCAAATAATTGGTCGCCACAGGGTAGAAGCCTCTGACAGTGCATTCCCACACTCTCGTCTCCTCTTCCAGTAGATGCAAGCCATATTGGGGGGGGGGGAGAGCCATGTGGTTCTTCTGTTGTCAGAATCCATATGGACAAGAA